AAATATCTGCTAAATTAATTTTCATGTTTTTTTCATATTCATAACGTTGAAGTTGACAGACATTAGAAATTTTTTTATTTCAATTTTTAAAGCAATTAAATAATTGTAAATAAAAATTCCACATGTGATTTGATTTGTAATAAAAATTTAAAATGAAAATTAATTTAGTAGATGAAATGATTAAAAAAAATTAAAAATGCAATTTTTTTTAAATAATTTTTTGGAACAAAAAATTTTTCAAGTGTACTTACTTGATTGCACTTACTATTTAATTGCAAATAAATTTACAACATTTAAAATTTTATCCGGTTAAAATCCGGGCGAACAGCTGATAACATGAAAATTCATCCCTTCTACTTCTGCTGAACATCTGTTGAATTTCGAACGCTCTTAAAAACAAATAAGTCCATATGTTGAATATTGAATCCGTTGTTTAGTCTTATTGTTATGAAAATTTACAATAATTTAGTGTGATTGTGTTTTATAATTTTCTAATTTTAATTACAATTAGTAGATAGTTATTTAATTAATAAATTTAATAAAAATGTCATTAACGCAAAGTTATTTTCCAAATTATTTTTCAATAAATGAAATTCTGGCGACCGAAGAACGGATTCAGTGTAAAATTGAAGTCAACTTGCCTCGCTTAGGTAAAAAATTTAATTAATCAACTTTTTTATTTAATGCATTTTATTTATTTATAATTTATGATTTAGGTTTTCTGGATATAACCTCTGATTTATCAGACTTGAAGCCGGGAACGAAATTGGAGTTTCCTTTTTGGCTAGCATCCTCATTACAATCTCGAAGAACACCTATTGTTAGTGTTGAGATACCCAAATATTACAGAGAAGGCTACAGGTAAATTGTTCATTTAAAATTATAATCTGTATTATTAGGAGAATAAGAAGAATTTTGTGTCCAGGATATTCATATGATAAAATCGGTTTTTTTTAGTGAAATTTAGTGTCATTGCAAAGGTCTTGACTTGAATTTGTGCCTTTTAAAGATTTCATATCATTCTCACCAATAATCAATTAATGATGATAAGTATTTAGGCTGCATTCGAAAATGCTCTATCTCTAAATACATTATTGCGAAATGACCTTGTATCTTGTAAAATATTGACATTTTTAAAGATATAAGCTCATCCCGATGTTAGACTCATCGACACCTTTCATTTGAGTACCCACATCAATTTTTCATATATTTTATATATTTATATATTATACAAATACCATATATATAAAATATATAAAAATTTCCATGTGGGTATTTAAATGAAAGGTCTCAATGAGTGTAACATCGGGATGAGCTTATATCTTTAAAAATGTCAATAATTAAGAAATGACCTTGTATTTTGTCAATTACTGACATTTTTAAAG